TCTTCCTCCTCCGGTCTGTCTTTGTTTAATTATTTTAAAGCTTACACTTTTCTTGTAAAAATGTCACATCTGAAGTGTCAAAAAATTACTTTGAATACCCTAATATTTGCTGCATTTTTTTTCCTATGTGTGTAACTTGTCCTTTTTCAGAACAGGAATATGTGCATGCTAGTGTTACTATTACATCTTTGTATGTTGAACTGGTTGAGCACTGTAATGACCTGAGAATACACTGCATAGAATTTTTTTTAAATATGTTTTTTTGGGGGCTGGAGTTGTGGCTCAGTGGTAGGGCATTTGCGTAGCATGTGTGAGGCACTGGGTTCKATTCTCAGCACCATATATACAAGTAAAATAAATGTCCATCAACAGCTAAACAATATTTTTTTAAAAATGTCTTTTGATAAATGTATTTCCAATTATGACATTATTGCTGATACTTTCCAATTTTTAAATAATAGGATTTACTTAAATCCATTGCTTCAAGAATGAAGAAGGCAATAGAAGATGATGTTTTTATTCCTCTATACCCAAAGAGGTAAAAGCTGTTAACTTTTGTATTGTTTGAAATAGCTCATCATATAATACAGATTTAAGGACATAATGCAAGAGAAACTATACTGTTACATGTACATAGTAAGATGCAAATTGAGTTTTCAACAAGTATTTCTCAGTCACCTGCTGTATACCATGTATGATGCTTAGCACTTGGACTTTGGATTTTTTTGTTTGTTTAAATGTACGTTAGGAACATGAGCAGTTGCATAAAATGGTAAAAAGCACAGGTTCTAGGGGTTGGATCTACCATTACTAGATATTTGATATTGGTCCTTTCTATGCATTATTGTCCTCATTTGTAAAATGAGTATAAAATTAGTAGCTATTTGACAGAACTTTAGGAAGACAAGAAGAGTGCTCAGATTAAAACAAAGCTTTGTATAAAAGTTAGAATAGTGTAAGCCTAGAACATCACTGAATGTCCAGAAACTGCAGCTGTGAATTATGTATTTACTTTATGAAAAAAAGTAGTATT